ATTAAATAATCCCATTATTATTGTTTTGTTGAAGTCATATCATGACTTAGGTGTCGAATTTTTTACAAATAGAAAAATATTAAAAGTTCATGAAAAAAGAATACGCAGAATTTATCATTTTATCCAATCTCTACTGCATGAAGAAAAAGAATGGGGCTAGGACAGTTCACTTAAGTCAATACACCTCATATGTACACAAACGTGAGAAATCCGTTGATGTGATCACAATAAAGCACTCTAAGGATAGCGTCGGTTAACGATCTCAATTTGTTCTTGTCCTTCATCAAAAAGCTCTTTCTGGGACGTAAAGGGGTAACTCGAGTCGATAGAACCCATTCTAAGGGCAAAGTGAAAAATAACATCTTCAAATTGCCAAGTTCCAAGTTTCAGTCACGTTAAAGGTTAAAACGGAGGGTGTATGCAAATATAATGCTACAGGTAAGGGTAAATAGAACTGAAGATTCGAGAGGAAGCCTTTTTTTAATAAAAACCGACTAAAAAGTTTATCATAAGCGTGCAGTCTTGGCAGTTCGGGTGTCTAAATGATAGTTTGATTGCGATTTATAATTAATTTAATTACGCTCTAAATTGGCTTACATAATGAGGAGAGATGAGTATGTGTGTACACACTATGGCTGTATTGTTGAATCGATGATCAGATGAATAGATTCGATAACACGATTCTAAATGAATATGAGTTTTCCATTTCATTTCATTTCATAATTGTTGAAACGAAATCAGTCGTATAATATGAAATTATACTTATTAAATTAATGATATAACAATTTACAATGCACAACAGAATGTTCATGTTTAAAATTTTGCTGCTGACAACATCAATTATTTTTTCGTTCTTGGGAACTGGGTGATAATTTTTCTGTTCTCTCTTTCTCAATAAATTACCTTCTAACCGCTGATCTTGTATTCTTTCCATTGGTAAATTAATATTGTTTTTTTTAAATTTTACGCGCACTATATTTAAATGAAACAACTTATAAAGATTTTCATCGCGCTTGTATTTAGTTTTATTAACATTTTGGACCCTTTACAGCTTCTGTGTTCACATAAGACTAAGGTGTTGATTGTCTTTTTAATAAAGTGTGTACATTTATTATTTTAAAAATACATTCAACTTATTTATTTACCCCTGGCTACCGTAATCTACCACCAGTTCCAAATTTGGGAGTCTTTTCTTTTTGGGAGTCGGTTTTGCAATGTGTGTTCTAGATTGAGATTTTATTTGACTAATTACTAAATACCAAGCCGGTGGTATATGCCACCTTCAACTCTATTAAAATTCGGATGTTCTTTTATTTCAATAGCCTTGCGTATCATTGTAGGGATAAATTTTTGTTCAGCCTGAAGTATTTTTGTTTTGTCAAATCTTATTTAATGCTTTGGTCCTCATAAAGGAGCTATACTTTTAATTAAAAAACACAAGCAACACCTTATTCTCATGAAAACATGGAACCTGTAACATCAATAAAAGTAAATACAAAAGCGATGAAACCGTTTAAATTTTTTTTTAATTTAGCGGTAAATTAAATTTATGTGTACAACATTCCTTATATCACAATCTACGCCAATTTGTTTTAAAATTATTAATATTCATAATAGTAGTATTAGTAGTCTTAACATTAATGTATTTTCTAAGTATGACTTAGAAAATACATTAGTGTTAAGACAGACATTGCAGTTTATGTAGTATGTATTAAGACGAACTTGCCTTCGTTAGGAAGAATCAGTTTTCCAGAATTAAATTTATTACTTCGTTTGAAACTTGTGTTTTCGCTGCTCACCTAACAAGTCACCAACCAATTAAAAGTTTTTAATTGACATAATTTTTATGTAAAATTTATAATAACCAGCATTATAATCATTTTATATCAAAATACAGAATCACTAGATAATATTTACAATTTATAATATAGAAAAGAGCAAATTTATGTTGGCTTGCAGATGTGCGGAAGGTAATTGTTGGAATTATTTTCTACCTGTACCATTTTTTTATCATTCTATAGGGTCAATACTATTTTAATATTACTTTTGATGTACAGATATGTTATGAACCCTGATTCTACTCGGTCACATCTGTGTACAGAAGCTAGCAATTTATAAATCTGAAAATAACTAGAAACACTAGAAATTCTTAAGTTATTTATCGTGTATATTTTGTTCCTTCCTTTATGTCACTTATGACTAGGCACGAATTATTTTATATTTATCCATTCACGTCGTATTATTTGTTCATCGATTATAATACAAACTTTACTTAATTTAAGAGTGATATTTGTAATTATTTTGTGTTTAAGAACGTAGAGTTTATGTCTATCATGATTTTGAAATTTCCGTTGTAGTGAGATAAAATAGTAATCTACAAATTAAATCATCTGATATAGATGTTATTTGAATGTCAAAAAATGTCTGTTTATTTAAAAATGATAACTTTACCTTACCTTTGCCTTTCTGTTGCTGTCATTTTTATCAATAATATTACCTACGCCAATTTATTATTTCTAGAAACTAAAATAAAAACTTATTCTTATAAATAAAATATTGACAAGACTTCTAAAAAACTTAAAAAAATAACTTTAGCGCTTTACAGCTTACTTTTTAGCAACAGAAAAGTATACCTCACAACAGTCCGCTAATATTCAGTGAAAACTCTAAAGCAATTTCGACTGTATACGTGGTTGCAACAAACGATTTCATTTAACCTTTCATCTGTATTCTCGATACAAACTTTTATCGGTACAGAATTCCTTCTCGCCACTTGTATCGTAGCGAAAAACGGACAAAAGGCTTTTTGTGGGCTCGTTTATCGTCCGCCGCTAAGCATTCCGCCAAGTGTATGTTTAGCTCAATACAGACCCATTTGTAGGAACTAAAACATTTCGTTTTTATTGTGTGCGTTATCTCTTTAAGAAGTAAATACCGGGTATAATGAAACATCCTTTATTACTGCCTACTTTGTTTAGGCAGATTCTATTTGTTATAGGAATTTTGGAATTCCTTAGTGTCTTTTAAAAAAAATATGACCTCGAGTTTTTTTGTGATTTATCAGATATTGTAACCCATAAATATATTAAAACCATTGTTCCTATATTGTATTCCAATTGTGAAGATTTCCAATTTGAATAAAATTACCTAAATTCTGATATAGACAAAATTTTATAGTAAATGGCAACATTTGAAAATATAGATATTTTAATTTAGTTAATTTATACGGGAGTAGCTCGGTGGCATAGTGGATAAGCGCCGCGGCCCGCGATCGTAGTCGTTAAGCAACTTTCGCAAGGGTCGGTCACGGGATGGGTGGTGACCAAAAATTATTATCTCGAGCTACTCCGTGCTTCGGAAGGCACGTTAAGCCGTTGGTCCCGGCTGCATTTGCAGTCGTTAATACCCTCCAATCCGCATAGGGCCAGCGTGGAATGTCATGGCTCGTCCTGCTTAACCATCCATAAGGAAGGCCTGAGCCCCTGCAGTGGGGACGTAAAAGGGCTGGTGATGATGATGATGATGATGATACGGGAATGGTTCCTGATTAGCTCCAACGGCACACCTGTATACACGATAGCTTCTTTGAATACTCGTTGTACATAATGGTCATACGGTGTGAAATGTGAAAGAAGCCGACAAGGAATAATAATTGTTTACCTTCTTTTTAGTTTATCATCCGAAGGATCCAGACGAGTTATATTATATCTATAATCAGTTATTCTATCGAGCTGCAACCCTCGGGACGATCTTTTACACAATATCAATAATTCTTAACTAATAGGGATGATGACTAATTTTTGTTTGTTTGTCCGTCAGGTAGAGTGTTTAAAAATGTTAAACACGTATTTTTTTTTGTAATCATAAAATTACGGCGTTACATTGAGTTGAAATTTCGTATAACGTCACGTTAGAGTACGTTTTCTACTCAACTGTGACGTAGCGAGCCCCCCACTCATCAACTTTAATGCCTGTTATCTAAGCTATTTCTTGTTAAATTGAAGTAAAAAAAAAAATACGTATCTAATATTTTTCTATTATCTGACTGACGGACTAAATAGAATTGCATTTTTTTTACCCAGTCATCATCCCTATTCTGTAAATTCTTGTCAAAACATTAGACTGCTTTTTTATTTTCTTTTCTTACTTTTTGCACCCCGGTTGTCTTGAGTATTTTGTTAGATTATATGTACCTATATTAGTGACACTTCGCTGTAACAACTGTTTTGTTTTGATTGTTTTGAATTGTTATTTTTTGTAAGCACAATCTGCTATTTAATGTTACGCTTTTTCATCCAATGCAAAGTTGCCCGAATGAAATCGCTGGCTGGTGATAAGTTCACTTATGTACGTACGTAAAATATTTATGTATGTCCATGTAATGTTATAGTTGTACAATAAAAAGTACTTATTATTAATATGATAAGGTGATTACTTTAATCAAAAATAACCGACTGTTGATAGAATGATTCGAATAGACCTCACCTCAGCAAATTGGTTACCATGGCAATTGGTCAAGGCAGCCACCCTAATCAGTAAATTGGGGTTTCGATTCTCACCCTTGATTCCCGTGAATTCATTGTCCTATGAAGTATAAAATATAATAGTTTAATTAGTATTGAAACTTTGAAAAGCTAACTTTTCCTAAGCAATTTCTAACCTCTATGAGAAGTTATATTGATTCTGTCCTCTAGATATCTATAGTTTAGAAATTTTATTTGATATTGTACTTATTGGGTACTAAGTGAGTTCCGAACAAACTTCGGGGATACACATTTCTATTCTCTCTTTCAAAAGCTTATATTTCGGTAGTGTCTACGAGTGTTATTATTTTGTTGAAGTATTTATGTTTTGTAATACTATTCTTTTGTTTTCTTTAATTCTAATAAAACAATATTGCATTTAAATGTTATTCAAGTATTACATGCAGTCATTAGTATCAACGATTTTTTTTTATATTCACACTCTCTTAGGTAATTTCAAATAAAACAAATTTATCCATATAATTTTTGATCTTTTAATCGATAAATCATTATTCCAGTGATCGAGAAACTCGTAACATCCTCCCCTAGAAAAACTCAATGCGTTTATAATTTATATTTACAATCACGCATTAAAATTACATTAAGAATTACACTTTTAAAAGAGGCAGAAATACTTTTTAATCCTGTAATGTAAAGTCAGATGGAATTAACTGTCACACTCTCATTTCGTCAATGGCAGCCTGTGGGAGGTTCGGGGTGTGAGTGGGTTTGCCCCGTCGTAGGGTCGCGTGAGGACCCCTCTCCCCTTCCCTTCCCGGGGAGCTTTGCGCCGCCGAACCGTTCGGAGGTTGGAATTTCTGTTGCCTTACTTCCTGCAAGGGCGGTGAGTTATTAAACTTGTTCAAATTCTTAGGCATAGTTGCATAGCCTCCCAATTGTGGGTAAGTAACACTAGGTATTCTGAAACTACTATTTCTACTGCCCAGCTTTGCCGGAAGCATCATGTTATCCATGCTCAACGTCGGACTTGGAGGGGATTTTGGAACATCCAAAGGCCCCTTGAAATTCAAATTCGATAAGTGAGCGTCCGAGCCCATCATATGTTTTTTCCTGTTCTGCCTTTCCACATCTACCACTAAGCTCGGAGCGTGAGTTGGATCCATATGGTAATGGGAGTGCTTTCCAGATATAGTTTCAAAGTGTTTCTCATTGAACCGTTGCTGTTTACCCCGTGACCTCGATTTGTCTCTCTGATAGTAAACGCCCGCGAATATAAGCACGTTCAGTATAAGCAACGAGCAGCCGATAGCTATCGTTACGCTGAGAGCTGTCGAATATGCTGCGTATCCTGCCGCTTCTAAATTGGCCAAGGTATTATCTGTTGTGTTCACTGTTTGCAGATCTCGTCCCGGCAGTATTGTTGCGCATGTAGCTAATATAGTATCAACAGTAGTAAGTGCAGTATCAGAATAGCTACCATTCGTTCGTCGTGTTTGTTCATTCTCAGAATTCCGTGCGAGCGGATCTGGCCTGACTATGCCCTCATATAAATCTTGCTCATTGTGATTTTTGAACAGATTGTGTCGGGTTGCTACGTCTTCCATACCTGCACGGTGGAGTTCAGGGACTAAGCGAAGCCACACGGACAATTGATGCGCTCTGAAGTGATTCTTGAGTCTTGGTTTCATACCTAAAAAAAAGAAGTATTTGATGTAAATTAATACAATAAAAGTGAATTTCTATGCAATTCTCTGAAACTTAAAAGATTGATGCTAACCAGTAACATACAACATTCTTGTCACCTAAATCGTTTAAGTCTCGTATTATTCTGTACATCAGATAACGTTACGGATTCTTTTCTTTCTGGAACGTTCACTTAATTGAAACAAGTAGGCTCTTTTACGATATTATCTACGTAAAGGCCTCTTACAACGGCTCATTATTATCAACATATATATTTATATACATTGTATTTTTTATTTTACATGTTAAATGTATACGTACTGCATAATGAATAGGAGCATTTATTTTATTTCAGTTATCAATAGACTTTATTGAGATAAAATCTTATTGAGTCAGATTATCCAGAAGGAGTAATGAAAAAAGGTCCATAGACATTCAGCCCAGAACATAATGTCTACAAGAAGCCCAACCATAATTTCCGAAGGCAATATTCGCAAAAAAATATGCACGCCCACATCCCCTTTACACAAATTGCCCGCGCGTCATGTTGGGCTCAGTGTACTGGCCGAAAACATATTATATCAGCGTTAAATTTTAAAATACAATAACCCAATGTAAATTATTTTCTCGTTAACTCTGTTCAGGCTAAATTTTGTGTACGTCAAACAAAATCATTGTACATTATATGTTTTTATTAATCCATGGATGAATAGGCTGCGTTGAAAATAGAAATTTAAAAAAGAATTGATGTGCTGAAGTTATTTTTTTATGATTGTGGATAATAAAAAATTAAAGTTATAAGTAACCAACTAACCAATTTCCAAATATTTCTGATGTGTAGAATCGTATTCTTCCCAATTGATACCGCGAAACTTATTTCTCTCTCTTGATGCTGGAAGGACTACCTCCAACCGTAGATTGTCATTAGGATTCCTGAAGCAAAATTGTAACAATGTAGTCTCAACAATGACACAAATCATCTTTTTTTTTCATATTATCGATAGGTTGTGTCATTATTGTAGAAAATAAAGCTCAATGCACATTTATTAGTAATGTGAGATGAACTAGAGAATTGGAGCCGTCCTTGGAGTTATATCCGTAGCTGATTCGAGGCAATGGAGCAAGAGTGGCCCGCACGCTGGTTTCAGGATGTCACAATTTCTAAAGTCCAAGGTTCTCAGTCGAACCAATATTTTTTTTTATATTGTCTCTGTTCTGAATGTTAAGGTACTCGTACAAAGGCAATTTGTTGTTGTGTTAAAATATTTTAGTTACTTAATTTAAAATCTAAGAAAATTCAATGTCGCTTTATTATTATTTATTTCATATTCATATCATCCAGATGCAATGAAAGTGACTCCAACAATGACTTCATGTTTTATCGTCATCAGTTTATAATGGAATGTAACATTTGCATTTTAAACTATTCTACGACGCATTGGAAGCGTTGCCAGTGGGGGCGGCTAAAGAACTAGCTAAACATCCAAGAAAAAATATGCAAGCATTTAATTCAAAATATTTGCAGCAAAAATCTCTGCTATCCCATTAAGTAGCCGGCTTTGACACTTATCGTTATACTAATCTCAATTGGAATCTGATTTGGCAACTGGCAAATGCCATCGATATGATATACATTGAAACATAGTTCAAGAGTTAATGTTTTGCTTAATTTTTATGAAATTATAGCATGTAAGATAATATGTTATGTTCACATATTGTTCTCAGAGAATCACTGTAAAATATAAAATAAAAACCAATTCACTACGCCTGTCTGTTCGAACATAATATAAAAGAAAACTAAAAATAGGATTATTTTGCTATTTGTACCAATTGATGGACAAAATAAATGGAAACTGCAGTAAAGTTTTAAAAATAGTAAATAAATATTAGACAACATCATTATACATTGCTCAGATTCCAAGATGACTATCTAAAGCCCTATCGCGTTGTCTCAGATAGTGTATCTAAGACAACGCGAGTACCATAACACCCAAACCCGAGACAATATAGAAGAGTTCATTTTCTAAATTGACAGGACAGGGGTTCGAACCCGGTACCTCAGAGATGGCCTCGACCTTGATCTTGAAACCGGCGTGCGAACTACTCGGCTAAGGAGGTCGTAAAATTTCTTGTGACTTAGCTAAAGTATGGTTCAATGTCTTTTTTTCGAATATTTCTAGCAAAAAATAATCGAAAAACAACAAAAGATTTACTTTTTAATAGTTGCCGTTGTTCTTAAATAGTTTTTACTTTATAAAATCTGTAAAAACATTATGTTGTCAATTATACGTATAATAATACGTATCTGATCTGCGTGTACTTAATTTGTAAAATTAAAGTTAATCAAATATAATAATGCACTAATACGAGTATATACTCGTATTCATATATGGGATTCAAACCCATGACCCAGGAGTTAACAGGACTGACGAATTTTTCAAGTACTTCTTTCTTATTTGTTACTACAGAATGTTATAAAATTAATACAAAATTGATTAAATATAATTTCCATTTTTCAAATGAACAGAAAATAGAAAATAGAACAAATTTCCATTTTTATTGAAAATTCAAATAGTTTGTAAAAATATTTCTTTCGGCTGTTTGGGTAGATTGCCTGAACATTGATGAAAATACACCCTGTAGTAGCGAAAAGAAGCAAGATCCTAGGTAACTCAGTGGTTAGAGCAGTCGCCGGGATTGCGGAAGGTAATGAGTTGGAATCTCATGTCAGAGTACCAAGGATAAAGTGGATATTTTTAAGTATTTGTCATTAAGAACATATTTCACTTCTATTCAAACTTCTCTCCATTTCAAAACCGTTTGATTCGCGATGAAATATTATAAGTACAGTAGACTATTCTCCAACGGTTAAAGCTTCAAAATAGTCTATACAGTGTTCATTAAACATCTCTGACTCAACAACAACTTTGCTAATAAAACAATAGGTTGTAACAACTCCCAAGAACCGTACAAACTAAACCGAGTTTAAAATCGACGACATAAAGTATCTTATCGCACTGTCGGTCCTTATCAACATTTCCCGAAACTTTACTGAGAGAAGTGAAACTCCATCGGAAGATAATTTTCCATGAGACCTTATGCTTATATGTTTAAAGTTTATAGTCGTGAAACGATATTTTATGACCCAGTTCGAAGTTTTGCAATATTATTAAAGATCAAGTTAAACCCTCTGAAATTTACAAATTTCTATAGGTGCTTGATTTTTTTATAGTTTTGATCAATATAAAAGTATGGTCATAATTTGGAAACAGACTTTATAATTATCTTTATAAAGTACACGACAGCGTTAATATTTTCTACGTTAAATATCAGAGGTCTATTGTGAATACAAAATTTACCGAATTCAATATAAATAGAACGATTGGACTCAATATTATAATCTTAATTGAAAGACAGTTTTACTGAGGTCACGGCTAGCGCAATTGTTAAGAGCAGACGCCGAGCCGAGACGAGCAGCTGTTTGCAAGGAAGTAGGGGTTTATATTCGACATCGATGTTCGACGTGAATTTATAATGTAAAACAGAGGGTAGTTGGTCAAATAACTGTAAAACTAGATAGCTCTTCATAGAATATTTAATTTATTTAATAAAAATAAATTACTTACAGTTTTATGATTAAAATTAGATCCTGACACTATAATTTACCCGCTCAAGCGTTATCTCCAATTTCTGTGACTATAGAAAATTTGAGTTAAGGATGGAACAAATTCAGCACACAATGACACATCTGACGGAAATGTTTCAAGATAGGATGGCTAATTTTGAAGCACAGTTGCAGAAGACTCCTAATGCAACCACTGCCAGCACAGCAGATCTGGTTTCTGAGTTTGCCTCGTTCAAGTCATTCATGCTGGGAACGCTGAACACCCTTCAGTCGCAGATTCATGTCCTTGCAAAGTCAGTTGATAGGCTCGAGATGCAGGGCCGCAGAAAGATGCTTTTATTGCATGGTGTTCAGGAGCAGGCTAATGAAGACCTGTCACAGCTGATGGTAAGGTTTATTGTGGATAAATTGGGAGTCAACGAGTTCACACTGAAGGACATTAAGCGGTGTCACAGAATGGGACAATCAAGAAACAACAGCGACAAGCCTCGACCTATCATCATTAAGTTCGAGCATGCAGCCATCCGTGACCAGGTTTGGTTTAGTAAAGCCAAGCTTAAGGGTTCTGGTGCAACTGTCTCGGAGTTCTTGACTCAATCTCGCCGAAGTACTTTTATTGCTGCTCGTGAGAAATTTGGAGTGAACCGGTGCTGGACACAGGAAGGTATTATTCACGTTCTCAGTCCTGATAATACTAGGCACCGCTTAACCACTATCGCTGAGCTTCGATCGTTACAACTCGAGACCGCAAAGCCTGTGGCAACTTCGAAGGCAATTCCAAAAGCTAGGAGGGCTGCGGGCGTCAAGAAATAGTTCTAATTGCTGACTTCGTTCGTAAATATGAAGCAAATATTCAACATGTAAGCGAATTGATATTATCATCCCAGCATGCTTCAAGTGATTTTCGCAATTGTTTCTTGTTTCCTTACAATTGACTTTTATTTTACAATAGTTGAACTCATAATTCACTTTGCTTCACAAGTTAACTTATTTTTTTAATAAATGATAAAAAATCTAGACATTACAAACAAATACTTGTCACTGTCACTCAATGTCATTGTCAAGTTATCATCTAAGGTTGTCATAGTTTGTTTCGCTGAATTATTGTGAATCCATATCATACAGCCATATACAAATTTGTTCTTAATGTTATCTTAACTTATTATTTTATTTCTGTTGTACTATTATATAGTACATTGATATTTGTTTTTATTATTATTGTCTTTTCTGGTGAGCATGAGCGGGTGGTTATGGTGTCTTAATGGGTTTTATTCTAATTATTGTATTAGTGATATTTGAAGCATATTGTGATATATATTTGTTATTTATTTAAATATTATTTATTTATTACTATAAAAATGTCATTTTTAATTAGTGATGGTGATTCCAGCAGTTTTGTATCTGCTGATAGTAGCGATAACGATAGTTTTATAAGCATTCCTTCACTGGCTGATTCCCTTAACTCCTGTTTCTCTGATGTTCCTAGAAACTTCAATGTGGTTCATATAAATGCCCAGAGCATTCCGGCCCATTTCTCAGATATGCTGACAACCTTTGACTGTAAGAACATTCATGCCATCCTTGTCTCTGAATCATGGCTCAAACCATGTCTCCCTTCCCTTTCTTATTCATTACCTGATTTTAACCTCATAAGGAATGATCGTTGCGTCGGTGGTGGTGGTGGTGTCGCCATATATCTCCGTAAATACATTCCTTTCTCTGTGATTGATATGTCGTCTCAGCCACCTCCAGCTAATGCTGGCGATCATCTCTTCCTTGAGATTGGACTGAGACATGCAAAAATTCTTCTGGGGGTGTACTATAGCCCATCATCTCATATTAATTTCTTTTCTTCGTTTGAAAATAAGCTTGAGCTTCTGTGCCCTTCTTACAGTCATACTATAATAATGGGTGATTTTAATACATGTCTTCTCAAGAATGACATGCGTTCTGCAAATTTTCGAACTGTCCTGCAATCAAGTAATTTACATATACCAACACTCAATGCTACCCATCATTTTCCAAATTGTTCTCCTTCTCTCTTAGATCTCCTCATTGTCTCTTCTCTTCATCATGTTGCTAAACATGGACAATTCCCAGCTGATGCCTTCTCATATCATGATCTGATTTTCCTATCATATAAAACGCGTCCACCGAAAGCTAAGCCCTCAATTCTGTTGCAGCGCAATTTTAGTGGTGTCAATCTTGATAAGCTCCGCGATGATGCAGCTAATACGGATTGGTCGCAACTTCTTAATTGTGACTCTGTAGATGGCAAACTTCAATTTCTTGTGTCGAACCTTACTGCGCTTTATGATGTACATGCGCCAATTCGTCCAGTCAAGATGAAGCACCGCCCGTCACCTTGGATTACTCAAGATATTAAACTGCTATCAGAACGTAAAGCAGCCGCCAAAACGAGATATAAATGTCGTCCCACTCCTTCTAATTGGGAAAAATATGTCTATATCCGCAATCAATGCAATAAGATGTGTAGGAATGCACAACGCCAATTTATTCACAACTCGATTGAAAAAGCTGATCCAGCAAAAATCTGGAAATTCCTTAGATCTATGGGTATTGGTAAACAACATCATACATCTTCTAATACGAATTTTGATATGAACCTGCTCAACAAACAGTTCTGTTCCTCTTATACTTTTGATTCGACAAGAAAGTTGGATACTTTGAGTTTTCTTTCTTCTATTCCAAGCCCTAAATATCCATCATTTTCTCTTCGTCAATTTTCCGACTGTGATGTTAAGGGGAGCATTATGTCAATATCATCAGGGGCCGTAGGTAGTGACTGTATTAGCCGAAAAATGATACTCCTTATCTTAGATGAAGTTCTTCCACTCCTTACACACATCTTTAATTACTCTATAAGGGCTGGGGTCTTTCCATCTGCATGGAAAGATGCTCAAGTCATCCCATTACCCAAAAAATCCAAACCATCATCCTCTTCCGACTACAGACCCATAGCAATCCTACCCTTTTTATCTAAAGTATTAGAGCGCCTCGTCCATAACCAATTATCGACTTTCCTTCTCAAGAATCGCCTCCTTAATTCATACCAGTCAGGGTTCCGTGCTGGGCACAGTACTACAACGGCATTGGTCAAAGTCACAGACGACATAAGGTCGGGAATGGAAAATGGAAAGGTTACGATCCTATCATTGCTTGACTTCAGCAATGCATTCAACACTGTAGATTATGATATTTTGCTTGGCATACTGCGCTCTATTAACATATCTCCAGCGGTAATTGACTGGTTTCATAGTTACCTGTTTGGTCGCCGACAGCGAATTCGCATCGACAATTCTTTTTCAGCTTGGTGCGATATATCTGCTGGGGTGCCACAGGGTGGCGTTTTATCTCCATTACTTTTCGCTATTTTTATCAATTCTATTTCCAGTCAACTTATTTCGTCCTACCACCTTTATGCAGATGATTTGCAAATTTACTCCCAAGCACGACTAATCGAACTTCATCAACTAATTACTAATGTGAATGATGATCTGAACCGAATTTCTAATTGGAGTAAATCATATGGTTTAATAATAAATCCATCCAAGACTCAACTCATTATTGTTGGCAACTCTACGATGATTAATAAAATCGACTGGACTCAACTACCATTGATCACATTTGACGGTATCACATTAACTCCTAGTGATTGTGTTAGGAATTTGGGTGTGCTAATTGACAAAAATTTCACTTGGGGTCCCCAAATCCAGGAAGTGAGCCGTAAGATGTTTGCTGCGGCTGGGTCCATAAGAAGACTGCGCAATTTCCTCCCTCTCGCCACTAAAACTGCGCTGGCACAAGCTCTCCTTCTCCCCATTTTGGATTACGCAGACGTTAGCTATCTTGACCTTACTGAGGAGCAACTTAACAAACTTGAGCGGTTACAAAACTTCTGTATCAGATTCATATTTGGTTTACGCAAATATGATCATGTATCCGATTTCCGTGCAAAACTCAAGTGGCTCCCGATTCGTCTTCGCCGGAATGCGCATATTGTTTCCCTTCTTTACAGTATTTTGTTTAATCCACTTTCGCCATCTTATCTTAAGGAACGTTTTAATTTCCTTCATAATACCCACACTCGAGTTTTGAGATCATCAGAGAACTTAAAATTGGAGACACCGATGCATTTCACGAAATTTCTTAACAAATCTTTTATAGTTCAGGCTGCACGTCTCTGGAATGCATCGCCCGAAAATATAAGACGTGCGCAAACGGTAGATAGATTCAAAAATCTAGTAAAGGAGCACTATCTGTTATTATGACCTTTTACACTATATACCTATATATATTTATTGTTATAGTATGTTTGATAATTATCTATGTATGTTTATATCATGTACATTTAAGACACCATAGACTACCTAATTATTGATTTAAATTAAAATTTTCCAAAGTAACGGTTGCCTGGAAGAAATTGCTTCTTAGCGATAAGGCCGCCGATTGTACTATTTGTCCTATATTATTGTTACCTATTTTATTTATTGGTGTTTTTGTACAATAAAGAATTATTCTATTCTATTCTATTCTAATGTAATTTTTTATAAGTGTTATATAAAGTTTTATCTAGAAGAACAACACACTACTATTAGTTGTCTAACTGAAGCAGTAATTCATGCAAGATCTGTTTTAATTACAGCCACATACTGAATTAAGAAAAGTACAAAATCTCAATTGGTTATACTAACTTTAGTATTTTACGTTTCAAAAATCAAAAAGTCCTTGTTTTATTAAACTGCTATCGACTGATCATTAAAAAAAAAATTAAATCAGTTAGAAAAACCTGTTTAAGTACAGCTTTAGACGTTCTCAATTTTAAATTCTACATAATCCGAAACTTAATCTTTAAACAATAAACACAAATAGATATCGTTCAATAAAGTAAGTAATATTATTGTCAAAAAAAAAACATTAACTCTGCAAAACAAAACCATTAATGTAACTTTCCGTTAACAAAGAAAATATATACGATATATATATTGGTTAAAAGCTTGCATTATCTTTGTAAGCTCCACAGAAATGGATGCGTTATAAATATTTGTCAGGTCACGAATGTCTACTTACAGTGATACGCCGCGATGTTTTATTTATAAAGAAGACGTGAAACACGATTGTACGGAAAAAATAAGCCAAAGAGAAACTCGTTTTAAGAGAACTTGTGAGGCGGGGTGGAAATATTTTATGTTAATTATTAATTAAAATGAAATAGGGCTGTGTTTTGTTGCTACCTTTTTCATATTTGAATTTGTTAAGCTCGTCATATATCAGTCGGCAAATATATCATAGCGGGCTCGCTTGGATGGACATTTGTGAGATTGCGATGCTCATTATAATACGAATAAAATTTATTTTTGTGTGTAATATGTTTTTTTTTATATGAAGCCTATGTTATGAGGTTGCCATTTAAGCATTGGTGGAATAAAAAAATTGCTGTAATTTCATTTAAAAGATTATTACAATAAAATTTGTTTTTACTTTGGTATTCACTATTGTGCTTTATTTATCTTTAAACAGCGATTTTTCAAACCACGTTCAGTCATTATTACGTATCTCCGAGTTATGTTTATTATTCGTAGATAGTTTGTGAGCTTACGTGTATGAGCGTTTGAGAACATGTTGATTATGTTATATTATGCTAAGTTGATGATACTTCATAGTTATTTAACTTCTTAATTGCAGCATATGTCAAAATATTCCCATTCAACACTGATAACCTCATCAAAATCCACGAAGATAACTTAAAAACCTAAAGCGGGGAATTGACTAGATGGACATGCCCGCAGGCAAGTCTACTGACATGCCTGCCAGACCTCGTTTATTTTGTGAATTCCCCGCTTAACAAACATTGGAAACTGACAGAAGAATGGCTTTTATTTATACTTTTTGGAGATTAACTATAATTTTAGTATTTCTCAAGAGCAACAATCAAAACTTCTTACCCAGTTCTAGCGAAATTGGCGACAAACAGCATCATAGATTCCGACAACGACACTTCGGATTTTGTATAATTCTGTGGGAAATGACTAAAACCATCTACTAGTGGTGCACCGAACACATACGGTAGTTCTTCTCCATGCACCGCTCCCATTCTCTGAAACAAAGCTGCTATCAATATTTTCTCTACAATTAGAAACTCATGTAGATTTCTTTCGTATGATTCATATTTGTAAGCATCTAAAATCAGGTTGATAAAAATATATAAAATAAATATTAAGTATCGTATTTTCTACTCTTGATATAAATATAATTATGCCTGTGAGATTAACCTGATGTAAAGAAATTATGATTTTTAAACAAAAATAAAGGTTTTATACGAATTCGAAAACTATTTAATTAAAATTTTAAGCATCTTTGTGGAGTTGAGTTTAGTATAATGACGGTAATTTGAGGAAACAAGAATAAAAAAATATAAATGATAAGATATATTAAAAATCATATAATATTATGGAGCACAACAGTTAACAAAACGATGATAAAGTTTAAAGTCGTCCAAATGAAATTGAATAACTATTAACATGCCTTAGAAATTGAGTCTGGAAAATCTATCAACAAAAGTTTAACGGTACTTTAATAAAGAATATATAAACGGACTTACTTATATTTTTTATAACAATATTTAAATTTATTCGTGCAAATCTCAAGCACACGATTATCATAAATAACAACGATTATTATCGTCTAGAAGACATTTAATAAAATCGTTCTAACGACATATTTAAATACAATAATATAGATCAGAATGTATATAACCTTACTTGTGGATAGTAACCATCCTTAGTCTGATAATCGAACACGTAAAAAAACGTTTTAGTCGGCCTCCTTGGTCCATCTTCATCAGTAGGCGTTGGCTTCGGACCACCACTTAACAAATCTCCACTTTGCACCAATGGAGCTACGTATTGTGCATCAGACAAGGCAGCAACAGTGGCATCCCTCGTGTTTATAGGATTCTACAACAATGGATTATGTTAATATATGTTAATCAATACTTTGTCACAAAATTTGCGGATGGAACGCGGATTGGAGGAAATCTCAAATACTTCTCTAAATAAAATGCCGAATCTTGATGTAAATAAGATGGAATTGAATTTTTTGCGCCGCAATCCAATTTCGATTCGAGTTTTAAGATGGAATTTGATAATGTTTTATTAAATACTATCGGTTTGTTTCCTCTCGTAGAATTCAAGTATGTATTTAGGAAATGAATTTGAATGTAAAACATTCCTTGCTCTATTTTATGATTAAACAAACCTCTACCGTTCTTTCCCAATCAGTGTACTCGTTCACAATTGTGTAGAAGATTTCGCTCAAGTGGTAAGTGTATGAGTTCCTCACGTACGTCCTGTAAATATACTCCATGTATAAAATCCATATATAAAATTTAACATTAAATAAAATTTCAAAGTTATCGATTGCAAATTATATCTTCCGCCATAAGATATAAATATAAATACTCCAGTCATTGAGATGTCAAAAATTTTTATTCACGTACCTTAACATTCTATCTCTTTTATCTGGCTCAATCCCATTTTGGATATCATGTGCGGAGAATTTCCACAATGCCTCACTTGTCACCACGCCAAAAAGCAAATCATATTTATTCTGAAATAACCTTCGACCACTGTCGCTCCTCTTTTTATGTGTATTCAAATTCTGATTCATATTGTTGAGAGGGCCGAACGATGGAAAATCTCCAGTGGAATACATAGTAAGGAAGTCTTTTGCGAAATCTGTTTTTATAACTACACCATCAATTGACGGCCCAAAAGCTGTTAGAAAGTTTGGTGGTGATATGTCTATTGATAACAATTCATCTATTGTCGCTTCTCTTAAACAATCGACTATCACTTCGTGGTCCTTGGACATATCCTCTGGTATAGTACAATTCATATGCTTAGCTAACTTCAACGAATAATATACTGGATCATCTACTATCGCCCAAGAGCTCAAAGCTGACCCCGATAATAATATTGCCCTGTGAAATAAACCTGTGGAATAAAACAAATCTTGTCATAATGCAATCGACACCTTGAAATGTGTTTATTATTATCAGGCTCTGACCTTATCTGGATGGAATCGAATAAAAGAAATGTTTTACTTAAATTTTATTTCAATACGTATTTTCTTAAGAGCTTTTGCTGCGAAAAGGGATGTTCAAGACGGCATACACTTACAGCGGTTTCTTACAAGATGACTGTAAGCGCCTTCGTTAATTACATTGCATTTAAGAGCTTAGCTAAGCCCGCATTAGTGAAATGCTGCGTACTAGTTAATTCACACAATTTACGTTCTTTAATTTAATTACTACGTAAAATTAGAGCTTATTTAATAATGATATCTGACAAGTGTAAATAAATGAATTCGCCAAAGTTACTAGACTAATAGTCTATAAATAAAATGCCTTCTACAGATCCTACATCCAATTCCAGGTCGGATTCGCCGTTGAACCTATCTAATTAAGTTATTTCTGCCATCCCGCAGTGTATGTGGAAACTAGATTGAAATTCAGCTAGCAAGAGCATATAGAAAAATAGAAAATCGAGCAAAAGGTTCGAAAAAAATTTTGAGAGCAAAAGGTGAGTGTCTTAATAATCATCACAAACAATTACAATCACTTAAGTCAAAATGTTGGAATTATCTTGTAAACTTATTAATAGCATTTTAATACAAGTACCTGGATAAGTACGTTTGCTCATTATTTTTTTAAATGAAACCTAGCTAGATAGCCTTAACTCCCCTGAAATCCCCTGCATACTAAATATCATGAAAATTGTTCGAGCCGTTTCCAAGATTCAGATTGCTCGTTTAGATTATCAAATATTCATCTGCTTTTATTTGCTTGATTAGAAGGAACATCTACATACTTCGTGCAATGATGGATTATGTTGAATCAAATGTTTAAATATGTTTTCTTTTATTGCTTCGATCTATACGTATGATAACATTAATGTTTACGATTTTAGATTTATTATACGAACTGACAAAATACTGTTGTTATACTGCTTATAGCAAAAATGCAAACTGCAATTGAATATTTGATAACATAATTTTAAATATATTAAAGGATCTACTTCATCAACAAGTCAACAAAGTACAACTGCTAAAACAAAAAAGGCCAAAACATCTTAACTTACACACCTGGCATGACAGTAGGTGATATCATAAGAAAATTTATACATGCAGCCCCCGAGCCGTGGCCCATCAATGTTATATTAGTTGGGTCGCCTCCAAATAAAGCTATGTTCTGTTGCACCCAATGCAGTGCCGCTATTTGATCCATCAGCCCATAGTTTGCCACACGAGCCTTCGCATTTGGTACCGGATTTGCATTTAAAAATCCTGGAACACAATCAGTTATTAGTAATAGTAAAAGTTCATGATCTATAGAAGCCCGAAACAAAACGCCAGAGGAGCAAAGATTAATTTTCTAAATTGCTCCAAAGTTCTAGAGTTTACGAACTGCTGGCGTATACGTTAACTTGATTTATAAGAAAAGCTATTTATATCTGAAAGTAACTTCGTGCCGAAGTTTTCTTTGAGCTTTAAAATACCTCATTAATAACTTGATTCATCCCGTTTCGACATCTGTCAATAAATCAAAGAAAAGGCAAATGAATCTATCATTTGCCTAGTCATTTGTATTTTTGACTTTAACTTTATTTAATTAAAATGTGTATATAACAATAGTGAGTCGCTTGAACAAATATTCACTTGAATAAAAAGGAGTCCTATCAATGTTGTATTTCGTTTTCAATTTATATTCAAAGTTCGAAACTAACACTGAAGATCGCGAGGTTCAATTTCAATCAGACGAGAGCATTGTTTTTCTATTTGATTGAACTATTTAATAAGACATAATAACATTTAGTGAATACACATCAGCTGTTCCTATAAAATTATGAAAAAAAGTACATTATGCTATTCTCACACAATTTTATGAGATAAAAGTAAAAATAAACATTTTGTGTAATAATTTTATTTACAAAGTTTAGAGAAGTAAGAAAGATTTATACATATCTCACATCTTGAGCAGATTTGTAATACGAGTTGTTTCTGAAAAAAACTTGGACACCCATAAATGATGTTGAAACCTGTCCTACTATTAATAAGCCATGCACCGATTCAGGTGAGAATGTTTCATTAGTTAAGGTTTATATAACACAAGGTTAATACATCAAAGCTAACCTCAACAAACATTTGGGTTAAGACCAATAGCAATAAAATTAATGAAGCACCAATATTCATGACCTTCAGCACCCAAACAGTGATAAATGGTTAGGTTGTCACCCACATAAACGGGTAGGAGGCACCCTTTTCCTCTGATGCATTTACTAATTAAGTTGTGTTCATTGCAGTTCAAAATCAATTTTGGATAGGATTTCCTTTTCTTCAAAGCTTATAGTTTATATAAAGTTTATAAAAGTAGCGAATATAGATTCGAAACAAATAAGACACATAATTATAATGTTAGATCAAAGAACTCCTGAGAATGTAAATTGGCGAAATACATATAGACTTGTGATTATTGTGAGATTTGTTGCCATTTGTAATATCAACAGCACTTTAGGTTATTCAAAAGTGTTACATTATCCCACTCGATTTTAAATCTCAATAAATTAAGTGTGGAGGTTGAAATCCATTGGCATATTGTGTAACCTGCCGTCCGTACACAAATTCACATGACTAAATGAATACGTGTGAATACAGTACGGATGGTATACAGCACATTTCGGAGATACTGACGGACAAACCAGCTACCTGTTGAAATACAAAACATTGCCAAATACTCGAATTCTCGATAATCAATATAATACAAAATTTTACTTAAAATTATATTCCTTGGGGTATTTCAAAATGATGAAAAAGGCTCAAGGCATTATGTTTCGGGAAACTTTTCACGTTGACAAATTTAAGTTGACCTATACAAGCTTGATACAATTTGGCCTGAGTTTGATTAAATTTTCCGTTTTTAAGGGTTCTAAGCTTTCTGGGCCACTTGACATTCGAGATGTCAATGAAATAAAAAAAGATGAAAGTTTTAATCCATTTTAATTAACCCTAACGAAAATGAATATAACAAATTTTGCGTCTGTTTCGACAAAGATAAAGGGTAAAGCTAGAATTCAAAAAAAGATAATGCTTTGTGACTTCAAAGGAAAAAAGTAAGAATAAATTCGATCATTGTATTTAAAGTGTCTAAAATCCTTCAAGACGCATAAATAGATTCGTATCAAGTGCCGAGAGAAAGCGATTTTATAAGTTTGAGATTATATATTTTAGCAAACGCAAAACTTATTTGTTTGATTCCAATGTTTTGTACACACGTAATTCATGGCGGCTGTTAGATAACATATATGTCCATGGATTTTTGAGATCAAAAAGAAATAAAGAATAATATTAAAACTTTAAACTGATTCCGCTACAGACAGCATATCTCATATTTCAAAGGTAATCCAGAGGTTAAAATTCCAAAGTTAACACAGAGGAAAATGTGGGCGGAAACTAATAACGCACATACATTTTATCAAATATTATAGTCATTTGGTTTAGTTATTAATGTACCAAAAATAATTTATATGTCTACAAACGTTATGACCAACCCTACGATTAACAACAGACGGTTATCTAAGCCCACATTAATATCAGTACTCTCTATATGACAAAACTCTCGAACTAGCGTGATAAATGGATCTAATAACTTACCTAAAACGCCTAATCTAAAGTTCAATGTTACAACAATGAGGTCGGTGTAGCTCGCGAGAACCGCACCATCATATGGATTACTGGAACTCCAGGAGTAGCTTTCACCATGGACGTAGACTAATACAGGTAATGCTAGTTTCGTTTCATCCACTGAAAAACGTAATATATGGTCTAAATTTCTAGTTGTTTTGTCAGCAAATGCCTTCTCTAACAAAAGTATTTCAGCTACTGAATTGAGAGTTAGAGCAATATTTACATATTCAAAATTCAACGAATAAAATTACTTAAAATCAATAAATGGGTATTTATATACAAAATGTATTTAAAGTTACACGTGATGAGGTCGTATTTTTAAACTTTGATTTTTTACTTTTAATATGAAATAACAAAATAATTATTTGTGAACTTACTCTGCAACGGCGCAAATATGTTTAAATAAAGACAATCTTCACTTTGATTCTTAAGATAAGGCATCAGTCTTTTTATATATTCTAGTCTGCCTTTAGGCATTTTCTCTAATATGGTCCTTTCGTCGTCGAGATCTGGTAGCTTCTGAGGACAAGCAGGTCCAGGCCTATCTGAAACCCTTACTCCGTCCCAAGGCGACGGTGTTCTCGTTGGGCTGAACCTAAGTAATATTTTTATATTCACATTTAATGAAATGGTTAATTTATATGATAACTTTTCTATATTTCATTTATATTATTACGTCAGCTATAAAACAATTGTTTAGCTTACTTGGAATTGAATAATGAGTCATTAGTGTCTAAAGCTACCAATGATTTTTGAAAACCATGATGTTGCTTCATACATTTATAGAAAAGGTTTCACCGTCAAATCAAACCGCAAATGATAAACCAACGTCATTTCATTCATTGAAATGAGAACTCGTGATTATTGAAATTAGAATTTATCATCCTATCAATTTGCTAATTAGTGCATTCTGCAGTTTATTTTAGTCTGACATAAAATATTACAATATGCTGCGGTTACAATCAGCTTAACAAATTCACGTATTAATTGCAAACAAACCATACAATCAAACTATGCGACGATTTATATCCCAATTTATTCGAATTAAAACAATCCATCTCTTAAATATGCACGTACGTACTATATTAGTTTACCTGTTCGATCCAACTGGTGGTGTTGCATATGGGACACCTAAAAATACTTCAAGAGGACTCAAATATCTATGTTCATCCATAGCCAAAACTATGCCCTGTAATTTTCCATATTTAGTCTGCACTATTCTACTACTAATTTTAAATTTCACATTTGCCTTGGGAATAGGATTTGCTGGATTCAAATAAAAGTTCTTATAGTCTTCGTAATTGCTATAAGCATTATTTTCACTATTGTAAAATTTATTATTTGAATGTAGAAAATGTTCAGTGTTGTAATAAGGGTTGTTCTCGAAATTGACTTTTGTATAATCTACGTTTTCGTTTCCGTGCGCTGGATTATGATCATCATAATTATCTTCGTTCGGTTGATCGTTCTGTTTGTTTAAACTGAAATCTTTATTGGCACTCCTGTCAATGGTGTGACGATTCATGTTTGTAGTATTCGAGTTCACTGGGTGCATAGATAAAAACGCCACAACTAGAATGCAATACAAATTGAAACAGATTTGTTGTTGCGCGGGATATTTGGTTCTCCCATTTTCGTGTAAGCATTTTTTGGAATCATTACGACACATGCTCGTAACGCATATTTTAGTCCGCGCTTTGTGGAAATGTCCGTTATGAAACATATTACGTCATGTTATCATTTTTGTTATACTCTCGTCAGTTTTATCATCTTCTGTGACACACGGATCGTTGGATCGGCATCTGTAACAAGAGAAACGTTATTTAATTTAGAGAAATTAGACAAAAAACCATATAACTTGAATAGAAGATTAATGTACATTAAATATTTAAACCATATCAAAACGGTATACTGAATGTTGAAATTAATTATATTTAGAAGTGTTTGTATCAAAACAAGCATCAAAGAAAACAGTGTTTTAGTATTAGGTAATGGAATAAAAATAACTAACTGACTATTCAACTAAAATATTTTTTCAACTTTGTATACGACACAAGGTGATTAAGGTATAAGTACATTACATTCGTATGCGAAAATTTGAAATAGCAAGTTCCTTCATCATAGGTACAGTACACTTTAATTCAATAGACCCTTATTTATTATTACATTACCGAATGGTTCGAAGACCTTTCTTCTAATTTAACAATGTGAATACCTTAATATTTTAGTTAAACTACAATTTAATAACCCCAAAGTGTACAGAGTTTAACAAGCATTTGCATATTGACCACTATGTGTAAACTTTGGCTAAATGTTTTCGAGTGAATTGATTTTAGATAAGTTGTGACTTCAAATATAAGTGTACAATTGGCTTCTTTGTATAATTTTTATGACATCAAATTGTATGAATTATATTATTCAATTGGATATAAAAAATATCATCAAAAAAAGTACCAAATGATTAAAACTTATAAATATATTTATTTCGGCTGTTTGAGTGGATTAATGAAAATACGTTCTATAGTAGCGAAAAAGTAGCAAGTACTTGAAATTCGTCAGTCCTGTTAGGTCCTGGATAGCTCAGTGGTTAGAGCAGTCGCCCAGTTTACGAAAGGTCATGGGTTCGAGTTCCATTTTAGAGTGCCAGGGCCTAAGTAGTAGCTTAGTGGTTAGAGCAGTCGCCCGAATTGCGTAAGGCCATGGGTACGGGTCCCATCTCAGAGTGCCAGGCACAGAGTGGATTTTTTAAACATTTTTCATTAAGATTATTTTTCAGTATAGCATTGTGAATGCAAAATATATTAAATATATAATGTAGCGCATTTCATATGTAAAAGAAGTATTTGTACTGAATTAATAAATTCTTACGTTTTTATCGTATTTAATATACTTTTAAATTGTGTCACCAATATATATTTATAAATTACTTAGTAACATACTATTTAAATATGCATAAAGTAAATTGACAGACATACTTATGGTACTTCTTTTTAAATTCAATATAACATTATTATACATTATTATTGCAATTTAATTATTGTTATGTAAAATGTTTTTCCCACTCTCATTTGAAAAAAGTTAACTTTGTGAAGACAAGGCCATGTTAAGCTTAAGAAATACTTCCATCTCCTTTCTCTTTTGTAGTTATAATAGATTTTTGAATAGTAAAAAAAAATTCCTTAGTGCATGATTGTGTATCGCTAATACACGCAATCGAATACAATTTTATATTTTATTACCATCGGCAGACAATTTATTTAGATTCCTGTTTTGTTTCATAACGCTGGGGAACGGATACTGGGCTGTTATCGTAAATTATAGGTCGTTATTCTGTCTAATAAACATTGGTCCTTCTTTGGACGGGTAAATGGCCCGATGTATTTTCGTGCTTTGGATATTAAAGTGGATAATCGACTGATTTCCTGGACCGTTCTGACACTTCTTGTACCATTTCGAAACTTGATTTGATATTATGAAACATTAATTAGACAAAATTAGATATAAAATTACCTTTACTACAATGTCATGGAAATTTTATATCTTGTATAGTAACAACTTAGTGAAGAGGAGAACGATGTGAGTTATGTAATAATCTACTTCTATTATATAGATGTCAAAGTATTATATTCAAAAGTATTGTATAAACTTTAGCGATGAAATCTTTGACGTAGTCCAAGAATTGTACTACAGCTTTTAAAAGCAAAACAAAGGATACACAATCCTAACTGTTTTTCGTCCAAAGTACCGACTGAACAAAATGGAATTCTGTTACTCTACATCCCTTTCAAATTGTAAACTTACTTCTCATTATTTGTATAATATGAAGAGCGATTATTATTTTGTCAACGGTATTTATTTAAGCATTCAAACATTGACATAGTTTGATATCTATGTAATGATTTGTTACTTAACTCTGTATTCGAACCTTAAGTGTAAGTCGGTTATTAGTGTTTTTCTATTAACGTTCTAATTATTGAACTAAATTGATTTTAGTGTTGATGGTCTATAATCAAAATAAAAAAATACAAAGATAAAATTCTAATTAGATAGAACTATTGAAATTCTTATGCTAATATGACTGACAAAGACATTAAAAATGTAAGATAATTTAGTTATTATTATAATTATCTTATTTTTATTTCCCTCCATTTTTGGAACTTAACGTTATGTAACATTAAAAATTCCAAGGAAGACGGTTAAATGTTACGCTACTAATAATGAACAGGAACCAGTGCCAAGAATATTTTCATTCAAGAATAAATATTCAGCACATACAAACAAGAAGCAGCTCGTTGCAACGAAGTAAGATGGAACTAACTTGGACACGAAACAAAAAACAATCAGTAAAGTACCTCATCCAGTTTACCTACGCCGTACAAACAAAGGATCGACGCAATTTCCTTCAAGCACCTATTACAAAACTACTTTAGTATAGATTCCCCTGCGTTTAGGGAAATAGAAAAGGGGCGATGGATAACGGACAGTGCCATCAAGTCTCTTAAACGTTGAGGTCGGTCGTTGCCTCGGAAAAGGTCAGCTCACGAAATAAGGGTTATAACTCACTACCATAGAGTAGCGATTTGTTGTGAATGGGAAACTCGAAAATGACTCTCAAAAGATTTTATAGTAGAAATCACTATATTAGCACCATGTGTTAAGAAAAATCGGTTAAGGGGGAATAAAGAGGTATTTCAAATACTATACTTAAATAATTTATGAAACCGTTTTACGCTCTTTCTATTAACAAAGCCTGATCTTGAAAGGGCAACCCCGACATTACATAATTAGATCGTAAGGAAGGGTGTTTATAATTTGAAGAACTCCTTGATGCATTACAAGGTCGTGCCAGTTCACTTTTTAATTCCTAACTTTTAATGGTTATTAGAAATGCATTCCAATGAGAACAAATGAAATCAATATCGAAATGTGTCGACCAAATAGAACACTTATGTTTAAAATGAAACGATGCATTTAAATATTTAAGGTTGATCTTCTGCTTAAGACACAGAACTCTATCAACTCTTATGAGTTCCAAAATCAACGGCATGATTGACGGGTAAGGTCCTTCGTTAGAAAATCGCTGAAATAAATTACAGCCCAAATAATGACATAGGTAGTATGGAAACAATCATCGTAATCAAAATTTACTTGGCGGGGAGCAATTACAGCTAAAGTTATATCTTTACTAGCTCCCCTGGGCACTGAGCAAAAAATGAGTCATTTAATGAAATTTAATCTCATATATAGATGGATAGTATATAACCAAATGAATGTACTATTGCTCTGTTCTAAAAAAAGTGAACCTCAATATTTTAAACCCAAAAAAGAAAGAAGCCAAAGGGAACTCTGACACGGACCCATTATCAAGGTTCAGTATTATCGTCTTAAAACCTCCCATTACCGACCCAACTTGAAGTGTTATTCTAACCACCGCCCTGTTGCTTTAGTAATGTTCCAAGTCTCTTTACATAAAGTTCATATTACCATCATCCAATGGCGTTTGTAACGTTGTCTGTACGTTGGACTTGGCATAATGTCAAATTAGTGTCAATTTACTGCTTCTAGTGCCTACGTTTATTATCCACTTGTCGGTAATATCAAATTTAGAGACCTCAGAAATTTTAAAGCCATCATTAAATATGAAAAAATGGATAACGTTAAACTGCAACCATTGTTAAAGGGAATCTCTTGGAAAACAAAACAAGTCTGATGAATAGCAGATAATATTTTGCGAGGTCAATTTAATTTTTGTGTAATGTTTAAAGAAGATCGCGGTGCCTCACGCCATCTTAAATAATAATCCGATTACACGCGATAAATTCACTTTCTTGTTGAATCCGATTACTATGTAAGCATTTGTGATATTTATAAATATTAAATTAGTAAAGAGCGATGAGTTATGATAATAATAATCCTAATAAATGCGATCTTTTTTTATAAGTACAGTAGCAAATATATTCTTACCAAGATTTTAGGAAGAAATAATTTTCACAAGATTCAAAATTGATAATAATTTTAAAACAAAAGTTTTTCGTTTTTTTGCCATGTTTTTATAATATTTCGAAAATTTATTACAATTATTTACGACAGCTACTTTATGTAATAAACATTTGAGCACTAACTGCTTATGCTACCAAAAATATTGTTAATGGTTGAACTTCATGGATGATATAACCCTGGAACGTGACGCTATAAAATAGCGTTGTAGAGCACAATGTTATTTAATTCTCTTTAGGTAATCGTTCTAAATAACACTGCCGCTCTGAATGTTACTATTCCATTGCGTTAATGGTCTTTACTTATTTTAGTACAAGACATTAGTAGATTCAAAACTAGTCTGATGTCACTTAGTTTAAGTAATTGGTAAATTTTCGTTTTAATTTTTTCTTTCTTTTTAATTCTTTTATTTTTTAAGGGGTTTTTATTCTTTAGTACATGCCAACCCCATACTTAAATCTAGATTCATTTGATAACAATATTTCACTAGGTAATTTTTTACAGCATTTACTACAGCTTATCTTAAATTTACGAGTAATTTACATAGTTTTTGTGCAATGATAGACTTAGGTTCTAATAAATTTTCGTTTTAATTTTTTCAATATTCACGATTTCATCATTATCATCATCAGCCCTTTTTCTTCACCACTTCCATAGGTCCTTTCTTACGGACACGACTTGGATTTGGAAATTTTCATATATTAAAAAACACTCGCTTAATATAATATCAGTTAATTGATATCAAATTGTAGGTACATGAAAACGATGAGCTGAAAATTGTTTCGAATGAACTGTATCTCTAAAA